TGCGGCCGCTGAGGTGGTGGAATCCCGCTCGAGTACATACAGCAGGTGCCCCGCGGATACGCGCGCCCCGCTCCAACAATTCTCAACGGATTTACACTTCTCATAAACATGTGTTTTGTATGAAGCACACAGACCGGCCCAAATATGGGCATCGGCCCTTTGGGCATTGCCCGGTACGCCCGATGGCCAGTCCAGCCCTGTTCGCTGGCATCCTTGAGCTTGGACTACAAATTCGAAGTGATGCACAATAGAGGAGGGCCGGGCCGAAGTGTTTAGTTTGACGCCCATGCCCTTATATGGCAGTCTCGCTGCAAACACTGTGACGTAATGATTCTAAACACGTAATAGAGAATGGCAAAATCAGAACGGGTTGAAAAATCTTACCTAAACAGAATATGAAGTGTTCTCTGCAACCCATGAAGAGACTGATTTCAACTTTTTTGCACTTCTAGAGGCTCCAACTTCACAACAAAAGGCATTTAAGGCACAAAAAGTGGATTTTTCATGATATGTCCCCTTTAACGCTATGACTATAAGGGCTACCAAATCCCTTTAATATCATATAACATTCAAGCAGAATCTTTTGCTCAAATTTAATGACTAACAAAATATTGTCTTAATATTGTTATCAAGGTCATCAGAAATATTGTTTTATTTCCTCACTGTGGTACGAATACACGCTCTCTTATCTTATCAATGCTCTTGTCAGCTTCAAACATACTGAATTGAATTGACCTAATATGCCCAAGCCTCTTGAATTCAATATGGCCTTCTGCCCTGAATGTAAATGAACAGATCAACTAAAACCGGTGGGATTTAACAGCATACAAGCAGGTAAATACTCGTCACGCCTGTCTGCTCTCCTGCCTTTACCTCCCAAAAGACTCCCACACATCCAGCAGCTCCGATATCACACCACGTAACAGCATTAGGCCTCCTCACGGCCCCTGATGGAATCTCGGTGAGTGCCAGGCTTCCCAACGCAGCAGACACAGACTCTCCTCCGTTTATTTCTAAATTTGATCAGGCCGTCCCGTAGAGCTGCTCTTGTACTGTAATTCAGACCCATCCATATCCGGGAAGCTCGGTGCAAAGTAGCGCCTTTGATTAAGCTTCTCCATCATGTTTAATGTGACAGGGAATGAACAGGCAATCATTTTGTTCTCTTAATTGACAAGGTGACGTATACATGGAGGTAATGCAGGCCCGGCTACATGACAAATATACTTTGAGGAAATTGCGCGTCGAAGGAAAGGTGCCTTGAATATATCTCTTGTGAAACAGAATTGATATGATAGCTTCTTGAGCTGTACAGAATAATGGAAAAACTAATAAATACATATATACATACATATACTTTCTTGGAACTTGATCCCAAAAGAACATAGGAACTTGACATCATTCCAGAGCTTTACTAATGTTCTGTAAAGACATGGACAATGGACCACTCACTAGTTTTCTGAATTTTTCTAGTTTTTCATATTTAACTGCATATTGTTATTCACTGTCATATGTATTTGTGAAGGCATTTTTGGTTGTGTCATAAGTCAATTTTATATTCTGTCTTAACATTAACCTGCCAATTAGCCTGGCTAACACCAATATTGTTCCAAAACCAGACTAAATTTCACAAGTTAATAGTCTGGGAACCATCCATTCCATTAATTTTCTTGTAGGAGAGGTGTGACTGCTTGACTGGCCCAGCTAATTCAATCCTATACAGCAGTATATTATTGGTAGTTGTCAGGTTAGAGTAAGACCATTATCTCATTTGTTTTCTTGAAATAAAGAAAGTCCTTGAATTTGCTACTTTGAATAATAAAGAACCCACACACATTCCAATACAACCTTGACGCTCTGGTTCAGTAGAAGACCTGTACATTTACACACAATAGTCACTTAATAACTTGTGGATTTGGATTCATAACGAGTTTGCCAATAACACATTTCTTGCTTTCGTTCGTGGGAAGGTGAATAAAACGTTGTGACTCAATTCTCTTGAATGAAACCGAATCCTCTTCGCAAATGTATGAATGAAGCGCCAGGAAGAGAAGAGGTCGTGTCATTTGAGATGCTTTCTGTATCAAGCGTCTGCGTGGGAAGGGAGAATCCATTTTCAACTTTAATTCAGAAAAAGGTCATATGAAGGCAACGGTCAATTCTCCAACTCCCCACTTTAAAAGTCACAAAATGGGAAAAAAAATATACTTTTAAAATTACAGCAAAATCGTGTCTATCTAGAATATACTGGTTACATATACTTGTTATTGTGCAAAGCCATTGATTTCCCTGTACATTGTTAGTCTGAATTCTGAGCCTCATCCATATCTATTTTATGTATTTATCTAAATATTTATGTATTTATTGTTGTTTTTTTGTGTATACACACTTATATATTCAGACTGGTTGGGCATTGGCACTTATAATCAGTCTACTTGTTATTCACCCTCCAATGTGCAAGTCTGATTGGTAATTATTGCTTAAGCTCTGGTTGTTTTGTTTTTGCTAATCTCGCTGCCGTTAGATGTATTCCATTTGCGTACCGGTAGTTGTTTGGTGTACAGCTGTGGTTTGTTTTTGGATCGGTTTGGTGGTTGTATTGGTTGGGCAAGGGGCCGGCTGCCTGTGGAGCGTCCTGCAGCTTATGTAACAAGAGCCTTGGTGAGTGCGAGGATGAATCAGCTCAGAGCGGTCCATGGCTGTTGCATAACAAGTTGACACCTCTGTCCCTCACATCCACGCACATGGCACCCGCTCTGCACTCAAGCCATATGAAGTGAACTCACACTTGTAAAGATCTTTTGAAGAGAGGGATGACCTTTGATAATTATTTTTTTATCAGATTTGTCAGCCTTTTGTCAAAATATCAGTATAGGCTTAAATCATGATTATAGATGGTTAAAATAGTGTGGGATCTGCACATTCTGATTCCTGGTTCTGATAATGCTCATAATCTATAGTATCTCTGTTACTAAAGTGTACAGTTTTGCAAATGAAATTCATACACTGCACAAAGTCTGCTTTGTTTGCGAATAAATGTTTAATTCTTCATGTAATATTTAATATAGAAGTGATTTTTGCTAATACAAAATGAAAAGAAGGAAACAACATAACATTCTAGGCTCTATTGTCACATTGTTCTTATTATGCCTGCATTTAAATTTTGAAGAAAAAGAAAAACAAACTTCAGCTCCGGACCAGTTGCAGAATCATTTATTGTGCAATGTATTTTAGTCACATGACCCATTTATACTGCTTCCTAAAGTGATGAACATAAAACATAAATCTGCACTTTATTTATCACCATAGGGAACTTTGACCTCTGCTTTTGATCCATCCTGCAAATGCCAGATGTTGATGCTCGGCTTGGTCAGGACTACCAGAGCTGGGGGATTTACCTTATTGTGCATGTTTTTAGTGGTAGGGGAAACCGTAGCATCCAGTGGACACCAATGTAGACACGGGAGAACATGAAAACTCTGCGTAGCCTCTGATGGATCAAAGCTTGATCAGCAGGTGTTCATTTGTGCATCTGACACCACAACAGAGAAGTATAAAGGCTTCAGTGGTCGCCGTAGTTACAGCCTGTGACAACGCTGTACATGCAGAGAAATTTACTGCTGTGCTGTATACAGATTCACATGCCTTAAGTTACTCTTTCGCACTGATGATTTTGAGCCACAATCAAATGCTTTGAAACAGAGCCACAATCTTCAGCTGTCATGTTGTCAAGAGCAGTTTTCACTAACAACACTTTTGAACTTTGGACACTTAAATCCCTCCTGTATACAGAGGAGCACAAACGTTAAAGCTAGTGTCTCTCTTGTTTCCTCTCGCAGTGCTCAGGTTCGGTGCAGACACTGACAAAGTCTTGTTTTAAACTGGGGTCAGTCTAGGAGAGGCACTTAATTTGGCGAAAAGTGTGAAGTAAATGAAACAAGACTTGAAGCCAAGGCATTGTGAAATTGAACCTGTTCTTTAAAGACAAACTCCACTGCTCTGAAGCCGCCCATACTTCACCTGCCTTTTAATTGAGAGAAAAAGCACACGTCTGCATTTCAAGTGTCTTTCTTTATTTGCTCTAACAAACCTGAGACAAAGATTTCAGCATTTTAGATGGGCGAGTTTTCCACCCTTACATTGAAATAACAAAGTTTGATTTTTGTTACTGATGGAGAGAAGGTGAATCATAATTTTCTACCGTGGAGGAAAGAGACTGGACAGGGCCAGCTCTAGGATAGTAAATATCACTCTGTCTGGAGGGAACTGATGCTTTAATCAAATCCAATCCACTTTATTTATATGGACGAATGGACAATGCATTTCAGAAGCAGACACAGACACAGATTTTCTATAATTAAAAATGATTATTGACAGTAATCAGGTCTCACTCTGGAAATATTACCCACATTTTTATTTTTTATTTTATGGCTATGAAATAACTAATTCTTTAGCATGTATGAACTTGTTTACAAATGTTGTGACTGAAGTGTCAAATGTATCTGAACTTGCAATCCAAAGAAGTTTTGCAACAACAACAACAACATTACTTCATGCAAATATAATCTATTTCAATCTATATTGTCACCACGGTCCTTGGCACCACTATCGCATATTTTTTCCAATATTGTACAGCTCCATTTTTCAGGGATTGTGAATGATAAAAGAAAAATCTCAGTTATTTGTTAGTGATTACAATTCAGTGAAGCTATAAAATGCTTCTAGTATCTTTTCAAATCTGTAAGTGATTTGTTTCTTTTATTACCTCATTCAAGAGCTGTATTGTTGCCGTTTATAATGAGTCAGTAATATCATATATTTTCTTTATATACCAGACAGAAACATGTCATGTCTTTAAATAAAATCAGCTTCACGGACAGAGCATTACTGTTTCTTTGGAGAGGTTGTGTTACTTGTTCTGCTCACCAAGATCGAAGCGCTGTTTTTTTACCACAAAAACAGAAATGTTAAATGCCGTTGTTCCTTGTGTTTTTCTTCAGGCGCGCTACAAGCAGAGTCTCGACCCCACGGTGGACGAGGTGAAGAAGCTGTGCACGTCTTTGAGGAGAAACGCCAAAGAAGAGAGGGTCCTGTTCCACTATAATGGACACGGAGTCCCGCGCCCCACGGTCAACGGAGAGATCTGGGTTTTTAACAAGGTACACACCGTCCAATCACGTTCATCTTCACATTATTTCCTAGTCTTTTTTTAGTGTGTACATTTGCTGATTATAACCTCTCCCCTTTAGTTTGTCACGAGCCTGTGCAAAAACACTGTACAATCTACATGTGCAGTTTAGAGGGAACAGTGATCACAACAATGTTATGTGGGCAGTTTGTGTTCGTAATAAAAACACTAAAATAATCTGGCCATACCTGCATGTGAAAGCCGGATCCCGTCAGACCTCTGAAGCTAAGCAAGGCAGGGCCTGGGTAGTACTGTGATGGGAGTCCTCTGGCAACACCAGGTGCCACAGTGGGGCGGCTGCGGCTGTAAATTGCCAAACTGTTGTTGTGTCCTTAGGCAAGACACTTCATCCACATTACCTAGAATGAGTCTGGTATGTATGAATGGCTGGTTGTGGTCGGAGGGGTCAATACTGGTTGCCTCGTCTGTCAGTGTGCCCCAGGGCAGCTGTGGCAACAGTAATTGTATGCCATCACAGTGTATGGAGTGAAATATTTCCATAAGAAGTGTCTTTGAGTGTCCAAAAAAGTGCTATATTATTAAATCATTATTATTATTACTCTAAAAACACAGTTCTTTTGTGCACACTGAACTGTCAAAGTTACAAATTACAAGTCATTTAATTAGCTGATAATGATCTAATAATAATTTGAATTGTAGTCTAAAGCAGAAATAATTCTTGTTTTTTTGTCTGCGCTTTCATCCAGTGAGACCAGGGGGTGACAAACTGGTCCTCAATTTTTCATTTGTTACAAGGCAAAGATCAAGGTGTAAGATCTTTGAAAACATGTGACCTTTAATCTTGAAATTTAATATGTAAAACCAAGCAGAGCGCTACTGTATATGTTAATCTAATGTCCATAACGAGCAAAGCAATAAACCACTAAACTACTACTAATGCAGCAGCAAATGCCCATGCTTACTTTTTCAATTTTTAGCCTGATCTCTCTCTCTCTCTCTCTTTTATATTGTTCTGGCCCAAACTCGAGCCAAACTGCCTTGCACACTTTCACAGTCTTGTAAAACAGACATAAAAACCCTCAGCAGTTCATCAGCTCGCCATGTAAGTAAGCGCCCTCTCACAATGATCCACAGAAGCTGTCCACACCTGCACGTCCCCACTGCACCCCTGGGCCCTGTCCTGTCTCCTCTCATTCCCCATTATATTCAGGATACAAACTCCTCGTCCCGCGAAGTTCCTAAATGGGAGATCAGATGGGATTTGTTGTGTGGCTGCCAAAAGACTCGATTCCTATTAAATATCAGATGAAATACTTTACCAGTTCGCCCCCTTTAGTGTGCGTGTGTGCGTGTGAAGCGGGTACATTTTGTTCCCACTCAATTCTCTCTCAGTCAAGTCTCTGCACACCTCATGAAACAGACTGCGTATTAATAATTAAAGAAGAATCTATCGCAGCAAGCATCACCCTGACACACGAAGCCTATAAAGAACACAGCATGGCCAAATCACAAGTGGATGTTTTGATAACTGTTGTTTCGCTGAGTATATTAGAGATGTGATCACAATTGCTTTTGAGTATAAATGATCTATATACTGGGTGCCATAGACTGTATATCAGGGGTGTTCAAACGTTTTAGTAAGAAAGCCACTTTAGTTCTAGTTGTCCAGGGGCTGACAACCCAGATTTTAAAACGGTTTACAATTGTACTTTTGGTCCCAGTCAAATTTCTCCTTTGTGTTCTGTGAAGTAAGAAATCTTTTTTGTAACTGTTGTAAAGTCTGAATATGTGTCCGTCTATACTTAAAAGTAAGTTAAGCAAGGCAGAGGGCCACATAAATTGACACTGAAGGCCGCATTTGGCCCACGGGCCTTGGTTTGGACATGCCTGCTGTATATAGATGGACAACGCTAACCCCCTAGCTCAATAAATAAATAAATAAATACTTTTTTGAACTACATCTATGAAACCTTAACCTTTATGTTCAGGGCTAAATTTGGACCCGTTTTAGGTTTTAGGGCTTCATGGGGAGTCTGTTTTTTGAAAATTGGCACAAAGATTGCACAAAAAAATATTTTTTTTTGGAAATCTATGGTGATGTGATAATAAATACATTTTGAAAATAACTAAATTCCTTCAGGATTGTTACCTCCACCAGGTTGTTTGTTAGTTTGTTAGTTATATTAGTCAATTAATTCACGAGAAAACTCAAAAGGGACAGGATCATATAATTCATTCTTATCTTAACAAGTCTATCCTAACAGCTTTTATAATGCCTCTGTGATCTTTCCATTCGATTTAGCTCCGAGATATTGATTCTCTTCTTTGCGAATCAATCAAGTTTCCACAAACCTCTCCAGGTTATAATACTCTTCCCAGCAATATCTTGGCAACTTGCTAAACCGCTCTCCTTTTTTTTTTTTTTTCTTCCAGAATTACACGCAATACATCCCTCTGTCCATCTACGACCTGCAGACGTGGATGGGCAGCCCCTCCATTTTCGTTTACGACTGCTCCAACGCCGGGATCATCGTCAAGTCCTTCAAGCAGTTTGCTCTTCAGAGAGAACAGGAGCTGGAGGTTGGTAGAGTGCGACCATATCACATACTCACATTTGAAGTTTATTTATACACATTTACAGAACAGTACATTTACAGAAAGAAGAAAGACCAAAAAGGAGTAGGATGACGCTAATGCTTATTTTGACCAACTCTTTTTACAAGTCCAATTTGTATAAGCTCATGTATACAATAGGATTTACATAAGTAGGAAGATTGGTCATTTAAACTTGGCTATGAAAGTCCATTCAAATAGAGTGGAGAAATTGGGGTCCAGTCAGTAGATGATGAGAGTTCCAACAAGTATGTATAACGTAGGCAAGTTGCTGGAGGCGAACAGTTTAACCAATGTAGTGGGGCCTCTAGGATTTAAATTAATTTCGACCAATCGGGAAGCTGCAGGGGACTGTGCTTCGGTCGGGCTAATTCTATATCAGACGACATAATTCATTTACACCTTTCTGACATCGATGAACCAAAAAGTCTAATACCATTTGCAATCCTTAGTCATGAATGGGGTTTTGATACTAACAACAACACAATTGGTTCATGCAATTAATGTCGAAACAATTTTCCGACTCATGAAAAACTTTACTAGATTGTGGTTTGGCTTAGAAAAAATAACAACTTTATTGCCGCTGGTTAAACAAATCAAATGCACATCTGGTTCTGATCTGATTGGATTTGGACTCTCTGTCTCTCTCTCTCTCTCTCCCTCTCTCTTCCACCGCAGTTATCGGCACTTAATTTTTTTTATTAGCGTTTCACCACTTTCTCTACCCCTCCTCTCTCACGTCACTCCACAGCAATGGCATGTTATGTGAAATCCTAATGAGAGCCTGTTGTCATTCATCTCAATAATTCATAGAGAGATGTGGGGCAGACTGTAGATCAGCACGGAGGAGGGCAGTGGGGAGCGTGAGTGGAGAAAGAGAGAGGTGAAGGCATAAGGCAAACTGCTGAGTGGATGCAGGGTTTGACAGGAAGCTTTCCAAACTCTTGTCTCTTTAGAGGTCACAGCAGCAGCAGCAGCAGAGCGGGTTCATGACGAGACTTCTGTATAAAAAGGAATTCTGCTTCAAACTTTGCCAAATGCTCATTCTGGCTAAAGTCAGCATTTTTCTCAAGTGTATTGGCTTTTCGGATTGATGCTAGTGTGTGATGCCTGATAATGGAGATTTCAACCGATACTGTTAACCGATAAAAGGCAGTTGTTTGTCACTGATAGCCAATAATGGACTTTTTTTTGTCAATCAATCTTTATTTGTAGAGTGCCTTTCCTACACAGGGCAACACAAAGCGCTTTAATCACAAGATGGATTTAAATGATAAAATCCTTCAGTTGTGTGAACATGAACTTATTTTTTGTGGCCATTGACAATATATTCGATGTGGACTGACGGAGTACTGACGTCTACTCTACATAGTTCTGATTTGGACATAAGCTAGCTGCAGCCAATTTCCTTATGTAGGCATTTCTTCAAACTTGGTGTAACCGAGCTAACAAAGCTAACCAAGTTATAGATGTTGAAAACACATTACTTTGTAAATTTTGGGACTACTGCATTTAACTATTAAAATGATTCCACTCCTTTTCCTGTTGGTATCCAGATTGTTCACATTGCAGGTGATTGCAGTTGTTGCAAAGGATTTCTGCTGTGACTGGGGCTTGACCTGCTCAAGTCTGATTCTGCAATTAACTATTACAATAATCAGAATCAGAATCAGGATTATTTTATTTTGCCATTGTAAGTTAGTCACAGTTACAGTCAGTCACAAACTAGGAATTTACTTTGGCTCATGGTTAGAGCTGCAACTAACGATTATTTTGTAATCTATTAATCTATCGATTATTTTTACGATTAATCGAGTAATCGCTTGGCTGTGAATTGTGTAGAAAACATTTATTTTTTCATCACAAAAAGCTAAAGTGGCAACACTCGAGGACGTATTGATGGCGTAAACTTAAAGTAAATGTTTGTAACAGGGTCTTTGTGCTAATTCTGCTATCTGATTGGATGAGACAGATAGATATTCATGAAATTATAAAAACAAAGTAAAAATACTAAATGTTCATGTCATTTTTGCTCTGTTTGAGTCCGTGTGAACCAGAAAACGATTAATTGATTACTAAAATAGTTGTCGACTATTTCAATAATCGATTAGTCGTCGATTAATCGATTAGTTGTTTCAGCCCTACTCATGGTACAAACATTTTGTTGTGACAGACCAAGCCCAGATTCATTTACATCTTAATTAAGAGAGAGACTTATTTTCCACTAAAACATTTTACAAAACATTTAGTGAAGCAAGGTCCGCTAAAATATGTTGTTTTATTACTATAATATTTGATTGTTTAAAAGGATGTAAAGTATTTGGTTCTATACTGTCAATATTAAATGCATGTTTTTTATTGTTTTAACATTTCTGCAAAGTATGAATTTAGTTGGTATTTTGATAAACACCAGGTGTCACTTTGGGGGCGGCTGCGGTTGTAATGTGCCGAACTGTTGCTGCGTCCTTAGGCAAGACACTTCACCCTCATTGCCTAGAATGAGTCTGGTGTGTGTGTGAATGGTTGGTGGTGGTCTAAGTGGCACTAATGTTTCGCATCTGTCAGTGTGCCCCTGGGCAGCTGTGGCTACATTAGTAGTGTATCACCACTGTATATGGAGGGAATAAATAATAACCTGTGAAGAAGCCTCTTTCAGTGTCCAAAAAAGTGCTATTTAAAACCAATGCATTATTAAGCAGATAGTGTAACTAACTTTATTGTTGAAGATTGTCAAAGAAGAGACAATATAAAGTAATATATTGCCTCGTAAAACAAATATGATTTTATAGATTAAATGCTGATAACCTACACAAGCCTTCCCAAAGCTTTACGTCTCCTTTAAGTCACTCAGAACATGGCGTCCTCTTTCCCCTTGAATGGCTGCCCCTGTCACCTCCGCGTCCGGGCAGTGCACATCGCTGCAGTAATGGAAGTTCTAGAAGGAGCCTTTTTAATCATGCAGGAAGTGGTCCGAGTAGGGAGGCCTCGCTAAAACCCCCTCCTACCCCCACCTTCTCTGCATATAGGCCAGTGAGCGGGCGTGGGGGTCCCCAGTGAAATCATACTACAGTCATGCAACATCTTTCGCATGCATTTGCCCCATTTCTCCAGGGACAGGTTTATTTTCAGATGCCGTGATTTTTCTCTGAGATAAAAGCCGGTAAGTGAGTGAGGAGGAGAGAAACCGGAAGTGTTTTGTCAGACCACTCACTCCAGGGAGTCTCTGTCGCCTAAAGAGCAAGATTTTTTTTTTCCTCTTGTATATCTCCTGTATGCTCTTCAAACTCGTCCACGCCATTTTAATGTTGTTTTATGTGCAAGGTTTTAAAGTAAGGCATCGCTGGAGAAAGGTTAGAATACAAATGCAAGTTAAAACACAGTCGACATTGGGTAAACCTGAGAAATTTAGTTCATTTGGAAATCAGGCAAAGGTCACTCATTAATGCTGCATTGTGTAACTTTCTGGGAGGGTTAACTCACTTAAAAATAATTTCATGGAGAAAATCAGGACTCACAGGCTGACTCACAGAAAAGTACATATAATACAGTAAGACATAGAACTTAAAATGTATATCTGCCACTTCAACTTTGACCATATAACCCTGTACTATAATCATAATGAAGTATTGTTCATAAACAATATATTTAAATAAGTCGCTCCCCTTTGCAGAACCACAAACGGTAATATTTGTTGGAGGAAAATGGTTTGACCAATGGCGTCTCAGCTATCCATCAAGGATTTTATTTAAATGTGTCCAATCAGGAAGCCGTGGGGGCGGGTCTAACTGAAATGTAACTTTAATACAGACATAACATAAACCATAACTGCTCTGCTTCAGGACCGGCATTTAGGAAGTTCACAGATATTGAGGGGACCTTGAGGCTCATATTGGGAGAATAGAGCTGGTGAAGGATTATTTTCTTTGCCTGGAAAAAATATTATTTGATTTGGTGATATTAACGTTTCACAAATAGTTTTAACCTGGTTAAATACAGTTTGCATAAAACATGGAATTTAATAACATGCTTGAAATCCTCAGATAAGATCAGTCTTTTGCTGGAGATTTCACTTCTCAGTCTTTGAAAACTGCTGTTTTAAACTGTTTTCAATATTCTTTCCTAACGCTATAGGATCAGTCTAATGTATTAGTGTCACTCGTTCTCTTTAGAAAACGGCATTCCCATTATTAATTAAACTGCAGCGTGATAGAGCCCCAGTGGAACGGGGAAGCAAAAGGAAGCTGTCATGATCATTTTCATGGTAATTTGCTGGATTACAATATGCTAATGTGATAATTACAGTGAATGGTTGGCACTAATCAGCTTCCACACTCAATGTTGTTATGTTTGCCATTTGGATTACCACTTTTTCTATCAACTAGTCAGAGAAATACATGCTCTTTTCTATTCACAATGTCTAATTTCTTTCAGGTATCCACATAGAAAAAAAGGTTTTACATTACATACAGATTGGCACTGATCCGCTCGCAAAGCAACCATAAGCGCCCACTCATGGCTTCCAGCAGCATCAAATGAAAAATGCATGCCAGTAGAATAAAACAACAGTGGTACACACGTGAGTTCTCTCTCATTTATTAAGCCCTTTTCTTGTGTACTCTCAATATAATAATTTATTCATAGGAGGCTCATATATAGCGCAGCGTGGTAAATGCACAATGTCTTGCTGTGATCTGGGCTGCTGCGGTTTTTAGACTATTATTTTGATAATGAGTTATTGGGCTAGCACACAGCTCTGCCAATGTGTTTGGTTTTCCAAAATCTATAAACGTCACCCTTAATCATAGGATATTGAAAGTTAATAAACATACATTGTCATGCACAAAGTTTGATTTGCCCTGGGGAAGGCTTCTCAACTCATATTTCAGATTCATTTTTTTTTTTTTTCAGATTCAAATAGGTTATACATACAATCAAACAATTAAACAATAGATTAGTATTTGGTCAGATTGGTAAGTAAGATTAATCAAATATTTGAGCAATTTGATAATGTCCTTAGCATCGCTTGTCCTCCTTCACGAGTTTCTTTCACTTTCAAGAAACTCACTGGGAAACTTTTTGGAACTGTGTGATTTGATTTGTGTATCCTTTGCTACTACTATTACTACTGCTATTACTACTACTATTACTATTACTTTTAATATTGCTACTACTAGGCTGTAGATGCCTCCCAAACGGCGAAATACATTTGAAAAGTACTAATTTAGACTTATCCCGAGTTGTAGCCAGGGAGGGTGAGGGCTGGGGGTCTTGTCCACAGGTGCAGGCAGGTCGAGGTCAGGGTTAGGGTCAGATTAGAGCATGTGTGAAACGGACAGTAGGAAAATGGGTAAAAGCAAAAAGAATTCCAGCACTCTCTTCTGTTCTGCTCCAATTCCCGATGTCTCGCTGTTTTGACACTTTGTAACTTTGTAGCTCTTTCCCCAGCTCTTCTTTTTATACCTGTAACACCAAAGGTTTGCAAACACGAAAAGAGTTTTAGCACCCGCTCAGAGTTTCCGCCGAGATAAACATATGTAGGGCATTTAAAGTTCATACAGTAATAGTGTGGCTTCTGTTTATTATGTCTAACGATGAGCTATCTATATTGATATTGAATATGTATTGTTTATTTATGTCAAACATGCACGAGATATACAAACAATTATACACCCAGGCCTTGAGAAAATAATAACATTGGAAATCACCGTGTTTGTGTGATAATTGGATACAGCATTCAACAAGTTTCATTAAATTTTGTGCCACCACCTACCTGTGAAAGATCTCAGAACCGAAGCAGGGAGGACCCGGTTAGTACTGTGATGGGAGACCTCTGGGGAAACTCCAGGTGCCACTGTGGGACGGCTGCGGCTGTTAAGTGCCAAACTATTGTTGTGTCCTTAGGCAAGACACTTCACACACATTGCCTAGAATAAGTCTAGTGTGTGCGTGAATGAATAGTAGTTTAGCACCAAGAAAAGTATATAAAATCAATGCATTACTCATTATTTTAAGCCATTACATTGTTAATCAAGCATAGAATTACTAATAATAATATTGTTTTCTTTTACATTTGTATACTGCATCTCTGAAGCTGCTCATGCTAGTCCTTTTCAGAAAACAATGCCGATAACATTTTTCAAATGTCTAGATTTGGAATCAAGTCAAAGTGTTATGTCACCACAGTTTTGGACATCTTGGTGATTTGAAAAAGACAAAAGCATGACTCGTATGTATTTTTTCTAATAAACACAGATTTGGGAAAAGCATTTGCCTAATCACATAATAATCTCCACCATAGTGCTGCGCGTTTAATTTAGCAGTGCAAGACAATAACGGAAAGCGCTGCAGTCTGGTTTGATAAAGAGAAAGTTGGATCAGGGCTTCTATTATGAGACACAGCTCATTAAAATGTTCCCCGCCAAAGACCGAACCATATTAAACTCCCAGCGAACAAATCTGTAATACAGCCGCCAAATGAGCCCATAAATATCAATTGTTTCTGATATAATTAAAGTTTTACATCATACCTTTGCTATTATCAAAGCATGGGAGAAATCGACGGCTGTTGCTTTCCACAGAAGAGGAAGACCACCTGCAAAGGAGGCTAAACAAATAACAGTTTCATGAACAATCAATGAAGTATCCACCACAGCGGCTCTTGTTAACCATTGATTGTCATTTTTTCCCCTTGTGTTGTAAGCATGGAAAAAACTCAATCTGTCTTTTCTATCGTTACCATTGCTGCTATTGATTCGACTTCTATTAGTATATAAACATGTACCTTAACAAAAATATTCAGGTTATCATCAATTAAAAAAAATCATATTATGAAATGTTAAAATAATAGGAAGAAATTAAGGTTTATTTCAGCTTTTATTTTGAATTTTTTCTGAGGTATATGGTACTTTACTATGTCTGCTTTTTGTTACTCTAGTAGTCTAATCTATTGTATTTGAATAATTTAAGTTATCTGCAGCTGAATAGGTCTCTCACATGAATGGTGAGCTACCATTCATGTGAGAGACCTATTCAGAGAATGTTATGTCCTGTAATAAGGTCTTGTGTCCTGAATATTGGAGAATGGCGTTTTTGCAGTTCAGTTAATGTGCAGACCATGATAAGTGTGACATTTGAGTTGAACAGCCTTATTTGAATTAGTTACTTCCACCTCTCAGTAATGAGTTACTTTGACTAATAACAAGTGACTTGCCCAACACAGATTAACGCAGTGCCATTCTTTATTCAAAGCCATACTTTGGTTACTTTTTTAAAATTGAAATGCTTTTGTTCTCGTTTAATAATGGCCCATTGAAAACCTACCAAAATCTTTTCACATGAAACTTATTAGAGCCAATTTTAATGAAGAAAAAAAATTGCTTTGTGTGAGTCTCATTTACTTAACGTGTGGTGCATTTGTAGACTTGGAGTTGGATATATTTGATTAGTTATCATTACCAAGCAGTCGTCTTAAACCACCAGTTTGGCCTTGTTGTAAGCTGTTCTAAAATCTTCGAACTAGAAACATGACAAATAGAAAAAAAGTTGGCCGTTTGGCACGTTCGTTTAATGACTAATACAGTACATCAGAAAAGTTAACTTGGGGAAAATAATAATATTCCAAATATTTGTGGACAGCTTGTGTGTAAAGCGACAGTGTAGGCGTGAGTGGGAGGTTAGAGGCTGCTCCAGTCTTCCCCTGTTGTCGGACATTAGTACAAACTCAAAAACAAAAGTTTATTCTCAATGCTAGGACAGATTTCCTGTTGTTCATGATCATTTATGCCGGCCTGAACGTAACATGAAAAAGACATTGTTGCTGTTTCAATACAAAAAATGTGTTCTGGAGAAATGCAACTCCCTGTTCAATAAACTATTGGATCAAATCAGAATATTGACTTCCAATTTGTGTTATTGTTTAGTATGTGCCCCATATTAGTAACTCGCATGTTAAAATATGAAAAGAAATGTAATGTTTTTGACCCATTCTTCAATTCCAGTAAGAACCTGTCGATAGGCTTTTTTTTTTTTTTTTAGATGACCATACCTATTGGGCATGTTAGGGTTTAACCCTATATAAATTGATCATTTGTAAAACATGTGCGCGTGCATCGGCACCGATGCACGCGCACATGTTTTACAAATGATCAATTTACTCGCGAACGGTAAAACGTAGCAACTTACTTTTTTTTCCTCTGTGAAGTACGTATTCAGGGCTTTCCGAAACTAGTTGATTTGTCTGTGCGATGCACGGAGGGTAAACTACGTTTGTCTGAATGTCTGTGTCCAAAGCGTGACCCGTGAGGTACAAACAGCTGTGAGATACAAACACACGGGGACTGCCAAAGATCGTCAGAGAGTGAGATCTCTCACTCCTCTGCGTTTACTTGTTCTCCCACAGTTGAAACTACAGCTGCGATTGCAATAACCGGCTGAAGAGTGCGCATTATTGATAAAGACGATAATAAATACAGTAAAATGACATTATGTGTATATGATGTATATAAATATATGTATTATATAAATAATTGATGTTTTTTTTTTTTTTTTTAGCTCAGTTTCTTACAGCTGTACTACAGAAGCAACCCCAGCATTATAGACAAACTGCTTCAGGAAGGGCATCAGGAGTACAGAGTTTTTTGCTTTTATAGTGGAATTTTGTAAAAAGTATAATAGTTAGAGATTCAATTTTTTTCCCCATTATCCCCAAGACCATAAATAACATTTCTATGCAGTGTAAAAAGTTGTTCATAGCATTTCATTGTGTTTTTTCAATACATTTTTGTTAAATTGATTTTCCGTTTGATTTTTTTCTTTGTCTTCATGATTCCATAATTTTTATATAATTCATATGACAGCTTTACAATATGAATATTCTAAAACCCCAGGTTGTACTGAAAAAAACAAAGTATACTGCTTGACTCTGCATCAAAAGATGACTGTTTTATGAACAATTATACACAAAGAAAACCAGGCGAGGAAAGTTCCCCAAAATGACCCATGTGCATAGAGGGTTAAAACACGTTATAAACAACATATACTAAAAACGGGTTGCCATATCAAAATATGTTGGCATATCAAAACATAAATAAAAAATGTATTCATTGGCATAACATAAAATGTACAAAAACACACAGATCCAGGAGGACTTCTAAAGAGGAGGGCCATTCAAGGTGTCCACGTTTGGTCCTGACTCTGGGCAGCAGCAGGAGGCGAGTCCCTGTGCTCCTGAGAGACTCGGCACATCGAGGCCAGTCAAGCCACACGAGCAGAGCTTTTTTATACTCTATTCTCTGAGCCAAAGGACGCCAGTGCAAGGACTTGAATGCAGCCCTAATATGCTTGTTTTCATGATTATTTTATAATACAAATATAATTTAAGACAAACCGTAACATCTGTTTCTCCGGTTCAGGTCGCAGCCATTAACCCCAGCCATCCTCTGGCCCAGATGCCTCTCCCTCCCTCCATGAAGAACTGTATCCAGCTGGCAGCGTGTGATGCCACGGAGCTGCTCCCCATGAACCCCGACCTGCCCGCGGACCTCTTCACCTCCTGCCTCACCACACCCATCAAGATCGCCCTCCGCTGGTAAGGACCACACACTGCACTCGTGATAGTTTCACAATGCTGGTGCAAACTGTTCTCTCGGACTCTCTCGTCTCTCAGGTTAACAAATCTGGCCACCAGTTAATTTATTCAGTGCACACCACACCTTAACAAAAATACCCAATGCACATCAGTTATTTTTAAGTTCTCTGCGTTTCCTCAGAAAGTAGAGTTGCTGACGAGCTATCTTAACTATGCGATTTATGTTTTGTCCCATTTCAAATCGTTTGACAAAGTTAAACCCAGAAACTTGCACTTAACTGGAGGGGGTTTTGTTTACTCCACTGGACAATTTAACAGTCTGCTCTGTAAGATCATCACCATTATCAATGATGAGACCAGTGATGGTAGCATCATCAGCGTATTATTTCAGGTTGGTGTCAAAGGCCGGACAGTCAGGAGTGTGCCATTAAAAAGACAATATAAGTTAAATGAACTGTTGAAGTGTGGGTTGACTGTTTTTTGTTCCACTTATTCCATTGTTTGGTCAATATATAAACAACTGGGTTTTGTCTTAAGAGTGCAGATAATCATGGTTGGTGTAATGCAATAAATATCTTTATTTAGTGATGAATTACTGTGAAAGTGACATTTTGCAGCTATGAAATTATAAGACAAAAGTCATACAAGGACACTAGAGTTCTCATTTATATTACCGGCTTAGAAATGGTGTCCATGAGAGGTGCTGTAGCACATTCACTGCTGTTATTACAGTATGTAGGAGGTTTGAACATTGGACCGCCCACTCATGCGATAGTGAGAATCATTTTAACAGTTTTTCTATGAAGTAGTAGCAGTTGTTTTTGCTTATTTCAAGAGCACTACTTTTTGTTATACATTTCCTTCCATCCATCCATTTTCTTCCGCTTCATCCGTTGCCCGGTCGCGGGGGCAGCAGTCTAAGCAGAGACGCCCAGACTTCCCTATCCTCACACGTTATACATTTGTGCCTATAAAATGGTATCCTCACTTGGATTGTCCAGTGGTTACGGGCCAACTACTCTACTACTATAAACTAATAAAGGGGCCAAGGGGAAAAGGCCTTTATTTCTATAACTGTTGCTTTTTTCTCATTCCAAGAGAGACATTTCTTGTATCTTTCTAAAACGAGATTATTTTGATTGTCCCATTTGCAATTCTTGTTTTAAGGCAAAATGTGCTCCAATTAAGATACATTTTTTTGCCGAAATTGAGCAATTTTTGACGCATTATTCATCCCTTTTTGCAGTGTAAGCTTGGACTGTAAACAATTTCTTGCATAAAAACCTATTCAGATTGAGTAGTGTAGAAAATTACAAAAGATGGGCAGGTCTGGGATTGTGTGACGGCAAAGGCTCCCCTCAGCCTCTGCCGCGTCACCAGTAGATACGTTTGCGGCAACCTCCAGGAAAAATAAAATATCAAGTAGAAAAGAACGGACTTTTGTTAAATCTGTTGTGATGACTAGCTCCGTTCATAATTGTACCCAAAGCCTCATAAAAGATCCATAGTAATATTCTAATAATTTAATCTTCAAAACTGCTGTCACATCCCGATTGGACGAAAGACAATGCTTCGTTGTCATTGTATAAGTATAGTAAGAATTTATTTCAATCTTTATGCACAAGAAAACAATATAAACAATAAACAAGACACAATAAATGGATAGAAAATTAAAAAAATACACAAAATAAACCAATCTAAAAGCATTTGCTCTTTGTGTCAAATCTGGCCCCACGGCAAGCAAAAAAAATGAAGGTTTTGGAATAATTATGTTATGTATGTGGGAAACTGAAGCCTCATTGAGACACCACTTCAGCTCTTGTTTCTTGTTTTGATGGGGAGCACGGAGACATATGCTTGCATCAGACTGTCAGCTGTGTGGGGCGCTGCGGCTTGCACTCGCAGCTAAAGGCGGTTGCGTCATGTCCCCACCACCAGCTTCAAACACCACTCTATGGGAGGCGCCTCATTCAAGTTTTACTCTAGCATGTTCCGCCACTTCACTGTAAGCCATCTACCAGCCAGTTCTTCTGAGAGAGCTGATTAAAGGGAGGTTTAAGTAAGATTTTTCATAGTGAGATGTAAAGAATGCATTGTGTTTTGTATTTATGTTGCAAAGGCTAGCCACAAGTGCATAAATCTTTTGTTTTGAGGGGAAATGTGTTATATTTTGTGTAATTTTTACAGCTGCTCCATGTGAAAAAACATGTTAACTAATAACAAATGTGACCTTTTTAAGAATATTTACCTCCACCATGTTTTCTTAATTGTATTCATAGGCTTAGAATTGAACTTATAAGTGTCCATGAGAGAGGAGGACTATCGGTGTAAATGCGCCATCTTGGTGGATAAGGACAAAAAGCGAGAAACGTGTTTTCGTTTCACATAAGCAACTGATATTGATGCCTTCACAATTTGGAAGAAGGAACCATGGAGGACCACAGATATATAAAAGAACGATCGGAACAACAATCTTTTAGATAAATAATTATGTAGAAGTCCAGCGTCATAGCAGCGAAGTGTCAACATCGCAAACCACACGCACAAAGACAGCGTTAACAACAGGAGGTACATCGTGTATTTTGTACACAACAGACTCACACGTTAACAATACGTAACTTTTTCACACTGACAATAAGTCAGTCTCAGGATGTTCTGACCCGATCCGAGCGCAGTCCAACTACTATGTCACAAGTTTCAACTAAACTTATTCAGGGACAAGCATCAAATAAAACACACAGAATCCCCACAAAACGATCGCCAGAATAATGTATCAGCAGTGTGAGTGAATGTTCTGTTTTTCTTACCTGGTGATGCAGATAGGGCGCTGTGGCTAACGCTAATGCTAACATGAGCTTTGCCATGTCCTGCTGCTGCTGTGTATATGTCCTGCTTCTTTGATCACCACAGTTTTAACCTCACACAGACTTTATTCCTCCATGTGTCTCTTCTCTTCACACCGCGTTTGTAAAACTATATATTATAATAGATCCATGGTAAAACTCAGTAGAGCCTCTGTGTCGGGTGCTGCTGTCTGAACGCGGTCTTGTTTACATGTCGGCTCCACGCGACTGTCAAGTGCCTGAGATTTGGAGAGATCCGGTCATTTATCAAACTAAAGTATTCTTTCCTTGGCAGTCAAACAGTATAGGCAAAAGTCTCCGTAACTCTACAGGCACCCGTACTCAAATCTCAATATACTGTATGAGACTGCAATATAAGATCTCAACGCTAGAGGCACTAGAAATTACACAGTGTACCTTTAAGTAAATTATGCTGCACAGTGGGTAGTACTTGTGCTTCACAGTGAGAAGGTGAGAAGTGAGAAGGCTCCAGGACCTTTCTATTTGGAGTTTGCATGTTTTGCCCGTTTCCTCCGGGTGCTCCAGTTTCCCCCTAACACGAAAAACATGTGCTACAGGTGAGGGTTGAATGAGTTTGTGAGTGTGACTGTGGGACTACAGATGGAAATTGGCCACATACAGTGCCTTGCGAAAGTATTCGGCCCCCTTGAACCTTCCAACATTTCGCCACATTTCAGGCTTCAAACATAAAGATATAACATTTAAATTTTTTGTCATGAATCAACAAGTGGGACACAATCGTGAAGTGGAACAAAATTTATTGGATAATTTAAACTTAACAAATAAAAAAAACTGAAAAGTGGGGCGTGCAATATTATTTGGCCCCTTTACTTTCAGTGCAGCAAAGTCACTCCAGAAGTTCAGTGAGGATCTTTGAATGATCCAATGTTGTCCTAAATGACTGATGATGATAAATAGAATGCACCTGTGTGTAATCAAGTCTCCGTATAAATGCACCTGCTCTTTGATAGTCTCAGGGTTCTGTTTAAAGCGCAGAGAGAACCATGAAGACAAAGGAACACACCAGGCAGGTCCGAGATACTGTTGTGGAGAAGTTTAAAGCCGGATTTGGATACAAAAAGATTTCCCAAGCTTTAAACATCTCAAGGAGCACTGTGCAAGCAATTACATTGAAATGGAAGGAGTGTAAGACCACTGCAAATCTACCAAGACCCGGCTGTCCCTCCAAACTTTCATCTCAAACAAGGAGAAGACTGATCAGAGATGCAGCCAAGAGGCCCATGATCACTCTGGATGAACTGCAGATAACTACAGCTGAGGTGGGAGAGTCTGTCCATAGAACAACAATCAGTCGTGCACTGCACAAATCTGGCCTTTATGGAAGAGTAGCAAGAAGAAAGCCATTTCTCAAAGATATCCATAAAAAGTCTTGTTTAAAGTTTGCCACAAGCCACCTGGGAGACACACCAAACATGTGGAAGAAGGTGCTCAGGTCAGGTGAAACCAAAATTGAACTTTTTGGCCACAATGCAAAACGATATGTTTGGCGTAAAAGCAACACAGCTCATCACCCTGAACACACCATCCCCACTGTCAAACATGGTGGTGGCAGCATCATGGTTTGGGCCTGCTTTTCTTCAGCAGGGACAGGGAAGATGGCTAAAATTGATGGGAAGATGGATGGAGCCAAATACAGGACCATTCTGGAAGAAAACCTGTTGGAGTCTGCAAAAGACCTGAGACAGGGACGGAGATTTATCTTCCAACAGGACAATGATCCAAAACATAAAGCCAAATCTACAATGGAATGGTTCACGAATAGACGTATCCAGGTGTTAGAATGGCCAGGTCAAAGTCAAAGAAAGAGCTGAAGACTGCTGTTCACAAACTCTCTCCATCCAACCTCACTGAGTTCGAGCTGTTTTGCAAGGAAGAAGGGGCAAGAATTCCAGTCTCTCGATTTGCAAAACTGATAGAGACATACCCCAAGCGACTTGCAGCTGTAATTGCAGAAAAAGGTGGCGCTACAAAGTATTAGCGCAAGGGGGCCGAATAATATTGCACGCCCCACTTTTCAGTTTTTTATTTGTTAAAAAAAGTTTAAATTATCCAATACATTTCGTTCCACTTCATGATTGTGTCCCACTTGTTGTTGATTCTTGACAAAAAAATTAA